TCTCAGATCAGAGGTCCTCTGGCAGCTGGTTTAAATGACGCTCCCCCAATCCTCCAACCTGATCAAAATCCTGAGGTGTCTTCTCTGCAGACTGCAGCAGCCCCTGCATTTTACAATCTGCCACAGATAGGATCTACCTTTCCTTTATGAATATCTTAAAATACTCCCTATCAGGTTCACACGGAGGTCTCTTACGTGGTCTGATTCACACATGAACGTCTTTGGTAACTGGGGCCTGCTGCTCACCTCGCCTCCCCATCCTGGGCTCAGACATTTCCCTTGATTGCCACCATCCCCTGGAATCTCTCCCTGGTTCTTATCACTGAGCCTCTGGAACTCGTCAAAGTTTAAAACCCTCCATACTTGATGCTTTCCTTCTTGGTTTGGAAAGACACAGAATGTTTTCTCATCCTTGCTGGAACAGAATTCCATAACTCGAGCCATCATATCTTTCACAACAGGACTTTCGCCTGAGCTCATACTCACGGGTTTGGCACATCCCCACAATCCACACCCTACAGCCACCAGCAAAACCCATTATCCTCGGCTTCCCTCCAGGGCTAGGCATATGGGACCCGTGGAGAGCCCTGCTCACACAGCGAGGTCTCCCTTCAGCAAGAGATTCCGCCTGCATAGCCTGCATGTGTCTTGCTGGGGGTGGGGCAGGGGTGGTGGAGCTGCCTGGGGCGGTGATGCACGAGGGCGTTACCAGGGGACTGTAGCTCTGAGGCAGTCTCCAGCAGAGCCAGGGTGAAGGCTGATGCTGTGAGTCTGCGAGACAGTAATGAACCTGGAGACCAGGGCAGCCGTGAAAGTGCAGCAGAGTCTGCAGCCAGCGCTCTGCAGTCATACCATAGAGCAGGGAAGGAAATGAAGTCTCCAAACAATACTAACCCCACCACAGCTATTCACCCCATCTCCTTTTTTACCTTCCTGGGTTTTTTTTCTTTCTTCTTTTTTTAAATCTTGAAATAATGATAGGTTCATAGGAAGTTGCCCAGTGGTTACGGGAATAACCATCACACAAAATCTGAGCCAGGAATTTGACACCAGGTCAGTGTGTGCGTAGCTCTATGCCATTTCCTCACATGCGTACATTTGTGTAATCATCACTGCACTCAAGATACAGAACTATCTCATCACTGCAAGGAATATCGTTATTCTTTTTATTGGATCCTAAAGGTATTCCAGGTACCATGCTAAGCATGATTTTGTTTCTTCCTAAAACACCCTAGAAAATAGGGTCTCCAATTATCTTCATCTCACACATCAGAAGACTGAGGCTCAGGGTGGTCACATTTCTCACCACATTCTCCTGGGTAGTAAGAGCAGAGGACTCAAGCTGCGTCTTGGTGTCTCCATCACACGGCCAAGCACCATGTACCTGCTCTGCACATGGGTCAGGAGGATGCTTTTAGTTTAGATCTGTCGGGTACCAAGCAGGACTGGACACCTCAAGAAGAATATCATCCTCACATCTGTCTTGTCTGATTTAATCAACAAACTGGTTCATGTTAACAAACCTTTAGAGTGGAAAGGGGTTTGTGGCAGACAATAGAACAACAGCATCATTCAGGAGCATTGACCCTAAACAAGAGAATGAATTTATAAGGAACAAGATCAAGCAAGAGGAACGTTTTCTCCAGGATAGCAAAAAAGGGCAGGCTTAATCAGAGTTGTGAGTCACGAGCTGAAACAGCAGATGGGTGAGTGTAAGAGCCGTATAGCATGAGAGCTGGAAGGGAACCCAAGCACTCAGCAGGTGTGCTCTGGAAGGGGCTGCAGATACTCCTAGCTCCTGCAAGCCTCCATCCCCTTCCCACCACTACAGCAGTGACGCTGTTCAGAGCACACCCTTGGGGTACCTGCCTCAATTCCCAACTCCACTACTTCATTCTGAAGAAGAACCTTCCACTTGCAGTGGCGCTGAGTTTCCAAGATATTAAAACTGGAGGCTGTGTTTCACACCTGCTAGTTCTAACCAGCCCAAACTGAAGGGGACAAGGAACTATGAACCACGCCAGCGTGCTGACCTAAAGAAAGACTCTCCTGCAGAGTGAAAAGGGGGATTTGTCATTATGCATTATGGGCACTTAAGTATAGGCTTAAGATTCAAAGTATGAACCTAAGGATTCCATTCTACCCTACCCAGGCTCTATGCTCAATCTTTAATTAGCATAACCATAAGAAAACACCCGCCCCCCCTTCCCCCCTCCCTCCGTCCCTCCCTCCCTCCCTCCCTTCCTTCCTTCCTTCCTTCATTCTTTCCTTCCTTCCTTCCTTTCTTCCTTCCTTCCTTTCTTCCTTCCTTCCTTCCTTCCTTCCTCTTTCTCTTTCTCTCTCTCCCTCCTTCCTTCCTCTCTCTCTCTCTTTCCTTCCTTCCTTCCTCTCTCTCTTTTTGTCTCTCTCTTTCTTTCTTTGACCAGGTTTCACTCACCCCGGCTGGAGTGCAGTAGTGCTATCATAGCTCACTGCAGCCTTGACCTCCTGGGCTCTAGCAATCCTCCCTCCTCAGCCTCCCAAGTAGCTGGGACCACAGGCATGTGCCACCACACATGCCTGGCTAATTTTTAAAATTTTTTCATAGAAATGGGGTTTCACCATATTACCCCGGCTTGTCTCAAACTCCTGGGCTCAAGCAATCCGCTGGCCTTGGCCTCCCAAAGTGCTGGGATTACAGGTGTGAGCCTCTGTTCAGCCAAAACTTCCCTTTCTAGAACATGAGATCCCCTAGATTCTTTGTGGTCCTAGAGCTACTCTGTGAATGTTCCTTTGTGTGGGTTCTTTCGGAAGGCAAGCAGATGATCTCAGCTCTCTGTTGATCACTGTTGTGGTCTTGGTCTTTCCTTTAACAATTTCTTTCTCTCTGAATCAGGAACTCTCTTCAGAATACATGTGAGAGGATGGCATTTATAACCATGATAATCTCCAATATGTTTTCCTCCTTTCTCTTCTTCACAGAATGATTTCTTTACTTTACCTTAAAAACAAATTAATTATAACACATCACACCTGGTTATGACCCGAGGTTGAGAATCAGCCCTCATTGTTTTTTTCTGCAGGATGCAACATACATACTTTGTAGACAGAGTCTCGCTCTGTAGTCAGGCTGGAGTGCAGTGGCGCGTTCTCGGCTCCCTGCAACTTCCACCTCCCGGGTTCAAGCGATTCTCCTGCCTCAGCCTCCCCAGTAAGCTGGGATTACAGACGCCTGCCTCCATGCCTGGCTAATTTAGAGACGGGGTTTCACCATGTTGACCAGGATGGTCTCAATCTCTTGACCTTGTGATCCTCCCACCTCAGACTCCCAAAGTGCTAGGATTACAGGCATGAGCCACCGTGCCCAGCTGTAACATATTTTTTGAAAGTCAAATGCAAGTCGGTTTGGCCGGGTGCAGTGGCTCACACTTGTAATCCCAGCACTTCGGGAGGCCGAGGTGGGTGGGTCATTTGAAGTCAGGAGTTTGAGACCAGCCGCCAACACTGGTGGATAACACGGCCCTCTATATAAAATATACAATAATTACCTGGGTGTGGTACAGGTGCCTGTAGTTCCAGCTACTTGGGAGGCTGAGGTTAGAGAATCACTTGAACCCAGGAGGTAGAGGATTCAGTGAACTGAGATCACACCACTGCATTTCAGCCTCGGTGACAGAGTGAGACTCTGTCCCAAAAAAAAATAAAAATAAAAAAAGTCAAATGCAAATCTGTTTGAGACTCTAGCAAGGACTGTGGTCAGGATCTCTGGTGCAGTCAGTGTAGCTGCTGGCAGAAAATCACTAATTTTGAAATGTCTCAAAGCGGTTTCCACTTGACGAGCAAGATAACTGCTGTTTAGTGAGATGGGCTTTTGGAAATGGCTTGATGTGGCCATTCACGCAGTCATAACTTATGCATAACTTTTCTCTTTTTTTTATGGCTGCAACATTTTATGGTTACATGTTAATCACATTTTCTACTTCCTTCTCCCCTAAGCTCAGCCCAGGCAGTGATGTTTAAGAGCCTCCTCTCAGCATGAAGTGAGGATGCCTGAGTTCTTAGTTGATGGCAGCTTGCAGACTTGGAAACGTTCCCTTCGGTTATCCTAGAGAATGTGGGCTTGTCTGAGGTCAGGATGCGGGAAGTGTCTGTGTTGGTCCGAGCTGCTGGGTCCCTGGGGAGCCATATTTCAACAGCAAGAAAAATGTATAGTTCTTGCTCTTAGTTTCAAGTCCAGATGTGCACACTCTGAGGAGGCAGCATGCTGAGAAGTGTTCGAGGTGAACATTCAGGGCAGCTGCTCTTCAGAAGCAAGGCTTGTAATGTGGCCCCAAGTACTCTCTCCTGCTGTTGGTCTGGAATCGACATTGCCGGTCCAGATGTTTTGAGATAAGCTGTAAATCTCTCCCTGCCTCTGATTTGATCTAATGAGAGGGCATGACTCATGGGACTAGTGGGCGGGATGACTCCTCGGTGGGGTACCTCCAGCCATCCTTCGGGGGTGGCCTCAGGGTGTGAGTTATGGCCCCAGGGGACTCATCATTACTTGAAAGTTTTGCACATGGAATTGTTACCTATGCAGATATCAGGAGGGCAGAAGAACTTAAATGTTCCAACAGACTGGTTGATTCTTTTAGCTGTGATCCCAACATTCTGTGGAGAAAAGCACAAGGAGCTCTGGGATGTGAACCCTGGAGACCCGGGAGAGGCTGGTATTGCTGAGAGACGAACCCAAAAGGTAACTGTTAAGTAAATGGGGACTTCAAGGCCACTGTCCAGAGGAGGCAGCCTCAAAGGGGGCAGACTGCTGTTGTTTTATCAAGTGATCACACCGATAAATGTTCCAGTCTCAAGATGTAGGTATTTTCCTTTAGATCTAACTTTTTCTAAGTGTTTTACTGTGCCCCAGATACTGACATGCAGATTTTTCATTTGATCCTCATAATAGCCTTTTGCAATAGGTGTTATGATCCACATTTTACCAATGACCACAATGAGGCTCATAGAGAAAAATAACTCACCCAAGGCCCCTCAGCTTGTAAGTGGCAGAATGAGCATCCAAATCATACTTCCTCCTTGAAAGTTCTTTACCAAGAGGGTGTCGTAGTCAGCTCAGGCTGTTATAACAAAATGCCACAGACCAGGCAGCTTAAACGACAGAAATTAATTTTCTCACAGTTCTGGGAGCTTGAAGTCCAAGATTTAGGTGTTGATCCATTTGGTTTTTAAGGAGGGCTCTCTCCCTGGCTTGTGGACAGTCGCCTGTCTTGCCATGCCCTCACATGGCCTTTTCTCTGTGGCAGAGAAGAGAGACAACAGAAGTGCATCCTGGTGTCTCTTCTTGCAAGGACACTAATCCTATCAAGTCAGGCCTGCACCCTTGTGACCTTGTTTAACCTTAATGACTTCCTTGGGGGCTAGGCCTATCTCAAAGTACAGCCACACTGAGGTTAGGGCTTCAGCATATTGTTGGAAACAGTGAGTTCCTCTTCAAAGGTTCTGCTTGTCCTCTATTTTCAAAGCCTAACTTCCTTGCCACTAGTTACAGTAAACAACCTTCCAGCCATTCCCAATCTGTAACCCACGTCCGTTCCCAATCTGTAACCCACACCCATTCCCAGTCTGTAATACACATCCATTCCCAGTTTGTAACCCACATCTGTTCCCAATCTGTAACTCACATCCATTCCCAATCTGTAACCCACATCCGTTCCCAGTCTGTAACCCACATCTGTTCCCAATCTGTAACCCACGCCCATTCCCAGTCTGTAACCCACATCCGTTCCCAGTCTGTAACCCACATCTGTTCCCAATCGGTAACCCACATCCATTCCCAATCTGTAACCCACACCCATTCCCAGTCTGTAACCCACATCTGTTCCCAATCTGTAACCCACATCCATTCCCAATCTGTAACCCACATCCGTTCCCAATCTATAACCCACATCCGTTCCCAATCTGCAACAACCCATGTCTGGGATCCAATAAGGATCCTTATTTGGCATCCTTAGTTCTGAAACTTCTCTTCCCGCCGCTGTAGCCCCCACCCCTGCTCAATTTTGAAGTAGCCAGTCGGGATCAGCTTAGATTATGTGGTCCAACCTCAGCCAATGGGGACTGGACACAGTAGTAGGGACTGACTACATTAGGGATAAAAACCCCTTCCCTCCTTTGTTTGGTGTGCTCTTGCAGTGATCGGAAGAACAAGCAGCACCCTTCTGCAGAAGTAAATTTGCCTTGCTGAGATATCCTTTATTTGAGTGCTCATTTTCTTTGCAACTCTAAGCTCTTATTTCCAACAATGTGAATTTGGGGGTGTTGGGGGACACAAACATTCAGCCTGTAACAAGGGTCTACCAGTTCCTGTTCCACATGGTATGTGGAGGTCATGAACAAAGAACCTCCAGGGTCAGTTCAACATGGAGTAAACAGTGGTTTTCCTTACACCAAGAGAGAACACCTGGTGGAGGACAGGGCAATGGAAGCCGAGGCCATGTGTCCTGGTGAGTTGTTCTGAGATGGGTGTGGGTGGTGTCTGATGTTCTTTATCAAGGGGCTTAGGTTGAGGATGAAAAGGATTCTCAAGGAAGGGAAATGGCAGAGATCCCAGATCATTCTTCTCTTTTCCCTTCCCTTCCCTTTCCCCTTCTTTCCCTTTAATTAATTAATTAGTTAATTCATTAACTTATTTTGGACTTTGCCTCTGGAACCCTATAGATTAGAATAAATTGGGGCCATGGAGGCCCTATTATATCTCATTTAATAACATAGTTCCTCAGTTTACCTACAACATTAGTGCCACAAATTCATCCAGCCTCTTCTTGAATTTCTCCTCTGTCTAGAAAACCACCTCCTGAGTCAGCCCATTCTATTTTCAAGTGTATTTAACTGAAACAAACCCCATCTCTCTGTAGGTCCTGGTTCTACTTTCTGGGGCAGTACAAATGGAGTCAGCTTTTTAGAAGACAGAACAAATCTCTTCCTACTCAATATTTACAGATGCTTGTTTGTTTGTTTGTTTGTTTTGAGACAGAGTCTCACTCTGTCACCCAGGCTGGAGTGCAGTAGTGCAATCTCGGCTCACTGCAACCTCCTCCTCCTGGGTTCAAGCCACTGCACCCGGCAATATTCATGGATCTCTTATCTGATCTTCACACTCAGTGTTTCCTTCCATATTTCGATCTCCAAGATAACCTGGTTACTTTCTAAGATATATTTCATTTCTACACCAGCAGCAAATTCTCGTTAAAAAAGCTTGCAGGCTGTGCACAGTGGCTCATGCCTGTAATCTTAGCACTTTGGGAGGCCAAGGCGGGTGGATCACGAGGTCAAGAGATTGAAACCATCCTGGCCAACAGGGTGAAACCCCATCTCTACTAAAAATACAAAACTTAGCTGGGCATGGTGGAGCATGCCTGTAATCCCGGCTACTCGGGAGGCTGAGGTAGGACAATCACTTGGACCTGGGAGGCGGAGATTGTGGTGAACCAAGATTATGCCATTGCACTCCAGCCTGGGTGACAAGAGTGAGTTATACCTGATGTAAATGACGAGTTGATGGGTGCAGCACACCAACATGGCACAAGTATACATATGTAACAAACCTGCACGTTATGCACATGTACCCTACAACTTAAAGTATAATAATAATAAATTTAAAAAAAAAAATAAGAAAAGAAAGAAAGAAAAAAAAAAGAAAGAAAAAAGAAAGCTTGCATTCCCTAGAATTAAGCCCATTTTAACTGTTCCCTACATTGCTTCCTTCTGAGCCATAAGGCTGCCATTCATCCCCTCACAAACCACTTAATGACATTTTCTTTGTTCCAATAGCCCCCAAGGCACAAGGAACATAGCTCCGAGCAGGATGGACAGACTTCCTGATTTCAGAGGGTTTACAGTCTAATGGGGGAGGCAGGGAAGACAGGCAAACAAAGAAGAATGTCAGGTAGGAAATGTCATGAAATAATAATGTTTCCTTTCACAATCAGACTACAGTTCTAACGCCTAGTGAGCACTTATTTTCAGCAAGGCACTTTGCTAATTATGGAATGAATAGTCTTGTATGCAAGTATAGCTTTCTAAAAAAAAAAAAAAAAAAAAAGTTCATAAGGCTTGTGTTCTCTGATCCTAGCAAGAACCTTGTAAAGTAAATAGGATAAGCACTATTCTGATTATTAAGCCCACTTTGCAAATGAGGAAACTGAGACTTATTTAGCAGCAATGCAGCCAGTGAGTGTGCAGGAACTCACAGCCTCTGACACCAGTCGCTCTCCACAGCGTCTCACAGCCACACACTGACGAGTTTGCTGATGACACCCTCGTTTCCCAAGCCAGCTCTGGTTTAGTCATTAGTAGTATTGTCTGCCGGTTTTTCTGGCAAATGTATGCATTCACACATTTATGTGATGACTTTGGTAGTTTGGAAAACAGATCTTGCATCTCAGGCTTTGTAGGGAGGACATTGATGCAGGGAGCCAGGAAAAGGCTAGCCAGCACCCAGAGGCCCTACTCTGGATGGGGGTAGCTTTCCACATCAGGAGTGCAGAGCGAGACATCTGGGGAAGTCAAGCGGTCCCTCAGTCAATAGCCAGGACTTGGGGTTGGGTCATAGCAACAGTTGAAGGAAACAAAAACGCTGGGTCAGCAGGTCCTGGGCCTTTGGGACAAGCAAAATGTGGCATCTCCCAACCACGGAGGAGGAGGCAGTGTTTGGAAGTCTGCTAAATGAGGGGCAAAAAATACTTCTGCCTCCATCACTCAGCACCTCCCCTGGCTGCTGTGCCCTTGAAGGACTCTCAGGCCTTCCTTCTTCCACTTGCTTAAGAAGGGACGATCCCAAAAATAATGCACCCGTCTTTCTTCGGGTTTCTCATTATTAGTCTTTTCTTGAATAACCTATTCAGGACATGTTTTATTCATCTCCTAATTGGTTCCTTAGTCACTCTGCTGTGGAACCTGTTCATGACATACCTGCATTGGACATACATCAATCCCTCGTGTTTGCAGGGACTGTTCAGTTACCTAGACCAGGGCCAAATAGGGGAGCCCCAGGATTTGACACTGAGATGGTTTGGGGCTCTGCCAAAGACATCAGGTAAGACAGAGGTGTAGTGGGAAGCAGGCTCTCTACAAGGAACCAAGTAGACTCAAAGGAGACTTTAACTTTGCAAGGGAAGGTAAGATGAAGCAGCATGACAGAGGGGAGCAGAGGCTTTTCAGCTTCTTCCCTCCCACCTTCACCAGCTGGATCTGGACCCTGCAGAAGGTCATCCTTTCCAAGTAGCCTGGTCCCAGGAGCAGATTCAAGGCTCAGCTGTGGTAATTATTATTATTAGGGCCTGGGGCCAACCGAATGAGCATCCTCACCGTGCACTCAATAGTTAGACCATATTGGTCTATAGTGAGCAGCATGAGTTGTCCTTAAAATGACATGTGGGGTGAAAGTAAAATGAAAACTGGGGAGTAAAAAGCAAAATAAAAATGTAAACTGGAGATCCAAGCCAGAGAACTTGTGATTGATGGGGATGGCCTTTGATGTGTTCTTTCTTTTCTTTTCTTTTTTCCTTTTTTTTTTTTTTTTTGAGATGGAGTCTTGCTCTGTCACCCAGGCTGGAGTACAGTGGTGTGATCTCAGCTTACTGCATCCTCTGCCTCCCCATGTTCAAACAATTCTCCTACCTCAGCCTGCCAAGTAGCTGGGATTACAGGCATGCGACACCATGCCCATCTACTTTTTATATTTTAAGTAGAGACAGGGTTTCACCATGTTGGCCAGGCTGGTCTCGAACTCCTGACTTCAGGTGATCCTCCCGCCTCAGCCTCCCAAAGTGCTGGGATTATAGGTGTGAGCCACCATGCCCAGCCTGATGTGCTCTTTAATTAGCCCTGGGTGACTTTCATTAGCCCTCTGAGCCTATTTCCTTGTCTGTGACATGACAGGGATGAGCCAAGTGAACCCCAGGGTCCCATCAAGCTTGAAGACCCCAGGTTCCTGGGAATAAACCTTCAAGAGGAATGAGAAAGCAGAGGAAGACTTGCAAAAAATTATTTAAGGATAGGAGATGTTTCCAAATGTTGCAAATTTGCCTTCTACTTGCATTTACATTTCCCAGTTTACAGTGTTTTCACAAATACTAGTTCCCTCGTTAAATCCCCAGTGACTATGAGCCCCCTGGTCTTATGGAGACGGAGCTGATGTGGCTCCATGGAGTAAAGAGAGTTGTCTAAAGTGGCATCTAGCATGAGCGAGGATGCAAACCCAGGATGACCGGCTTGGCCGCCCTGGGCCACCACC